ACTCATTGGACAGTTATTTTCTCCCGCTTCTACTAATGCACATTAAAGTTACCTTCCCATATAATAACTTCCACTGACCTTTTCCTCAAGCCCCGGTGTTGTTTCTATAAAGCATGTAGATTGATGATGTTGCTTGAACATGAAAAATGCTTAGTTGTTTTCTTTTTTCTTTTGAGTTATTTTGAAGTTCATTTACACTGGTGAGTGCAGAAGTAAACAATTGTGCCTCAGTATCCCATGGGAAGTGAAATAAATGCAACTACTACATTTCCACGCTTCAGAGGAAGTTCAAACTTCCCAAGGTCGCGCTCATGGGCAGCTTCACTGTCTTGAGTTACTGTACATGGTCAGAACCGGGTTGACATTTAAAGGTTTAATCCTAAATTAAAAGCATCCTGACGTGCCCTCAGTGTTTGCCTTTGTATATTAATGGGAGGTCAGGCTTTGTTCTCTCTTTGTGGGTTACATTGGGAACAAGAGGCAGTCAAGTTAATGCAGACATCGCCACTGGAACTTTTAAAAGGACGAGTTAGTGTTCATCAAATGATATTGCACAGGCGCAGTAACAGTGGCTGTGGCTCAGTTGGTAGAGTTGGTCGTCGCAACTGGAAGGTTGGTGGGTCGATCATCCGGCTCCTGCAGCAACACGTCCGATGTGTCCTTGGGCAAAACACTTAACCCTGATTTGCTCCCGCTGCTTCATTGGCGACGTACAGGTGTGTATGAATGGGGCTAGTTACTTCTGATGGTCACTTTACAAAGCATCCTCTGCCATTAATGTGGGAATGGGAGTGAATGGGTAGGTGTGACATGGTCAGAAGATTAGATTAGCACTATGCAAGTTCAAACCATTTATAGTATGCATGTAAGTTTCTTGGTTTGTCAAATCTGTTTGCCCCTAAAAGTTAACCAACAGCGTCTTAAACTCACAAGCTTAATAGCTATCATCTTTTGTAAGCCTGCTATTGAAGTGCTAAAGCTCTGCAGACTTTCATGCCTGCAGGTTTCGTTTCCTTGAAGACACAGATTTTACCATCTCCCTTTGTTTACTTACCCCCCCATCTTATTTATACCTTCTCTGAGACATCATTGCAGAGCAGCTGCTAATTCCCATGATTTCAAGAAGACGTCCATTAATCTTTGCCTTCACAGTTGTATTTTGCTCAGATTTTAATAACTATCCTTTCATGTTTTGATTATAGTCTTTATGCGGTTAAAAAAAACACACCCCATTGTTCCTCGTAGTGCAGTAAACAGACTTTTTCTTTCCAGAGACTGTCAAATTACAGCCTCAGATTTTTTGCAGCAAACGCAAGAAAGGCTGAGTCATGACAAAATGTTCCACACATATACCTAATGCACCAAATGTACACACGCAAACAGTGTGAAAGGGAAGAGAAACCTCTCTTTAACCCTATTATCATTGTCTTTTGTGAGTCATTGTACTCCATGTAATGTAGTGTAATCCCTGGTTGTTGAGAATGTGCAGAGCGTGGCTGCCATGGCTTCTGGCTTCAGCAGAGCTGGGAGCATTACAAACACATTCAACATACCCCTGTGGATCACATCAGCACAACACTCCCACTCTACTCAGGCGAACGTGATCCTGTTGGACATACACAGAGATACATTACGATTCTCAGTCTAATCAACCAGCTACATAAAAGCCTAAATGTACAATTGATCAAAGAAACAGTTTGACATTTTAATGGATACACTTGTTTACGTCTTGCAAAGAGTTAGATCAGAATATCTTAAACAACTTTTTTTTAGTTTGATTAATTTATATAGCAACAGAAAGCAAATGGTAAGGTAAGCTTAGCAATGAGAGTGGACGAATAGGGAAGCAGCAGATTGACTCTGTCCAGAAGCAGCTTTATATGTCCACTGGGACATTTAAAAGTCACTTTTCAACATTGAAACCACTTTTTCTGATCATAGTTTCTTCACCCATTAAGACAAGTTAGCTGTCCAGTGACTGTTTTTATGGTAATCTAAACTAACCAGCTGCTTACTGTAGCTACCTTAGCCCTTTTTCCACCAAGTGGTCAGTTCGTTTCGGCACGGTACCCATTTACTGGCGTTTGCCCTGTCAAAAGTTTGGAATGGTACAATAATAATGGGTCCGTACCGTCCTACTTTTTTGTTACCCTTCTGTTGGGGTTCCAAGGGTACCGATCCGACTCTAAAGGGTCCCTTGTTTACTGTGTCCCTGTTCTTATTCTTCCTTGAATTTAATTAGTAGCGGGCTTCACTGTGTTGGGCTGCTGTGGTGTCACACTATTTCATAGCTGAGGCAGCTTTCTCCATCCTACTTACACTCTGCTTACCAAATAAGGGTACTGTTGGCTGTGGAAATGCAAGCAAGCTCAGGGTTTACCGTACCGAAATTTCATCCCACCTCCTTTTAAATCAAATGACTTAACTTTTAAGTCGAATGTACCTGTCACACTCAACCTCTATCCTTGAAAATTTAAACAGGTGGCACTTCTGGTGCCTG